GGACCCCATCTGAGGCCCCACAGCCTCGGCCGGAGCGCAGGGGACTGGGAGCAGCTAGCCTGGCCCTGGCAGCGCTATCTAAACATGCCTGAGTGAGGTTTGGCACCCACTGCTATTCAGGTGCTGCCCGGCTGAGGGCTTTCCTGAGGCCCCCACAGCTGAGCACAGAGAGCTTGGCCCTGGCTGGGTCACCTGGGGCGCTGGCGCTCCTACCTGGGTGGGGTCTGCCCTCCCACGGGAATCTGGGGAGGCCCCCCAGGGCTGGCTGAGGGCCCATCTGGGATGGGGGAGGGAGGGGCCTGCCTGCTGAGAGGTTCCCAGGGAAGGCGAACCCCTCGGGCTTCCAGGAAGTGCGGCCTGCCCTGGCCCCTCTCCTCTCTCCTGGGACCCGCTGGGGCTGGGCGAGGCCTCAGGATAAGCCCCTCCCCTGGGTCCGGGAGGAGGCCTGCTTCTCCCAGGGCTGCTCGGGCCTCCAGGGCCTCCCTCCTTCTCTTCGAGCAGTTGGACCCTGGAAGGTGGCTTGGGTCAGCTGTGGCCACTGCACAGGACAGCTGATGCCTGAGGCTCTCTGAGGGGCACAAGCTTGTTTAGTTGTACCTTAAAATGAAGGCCGGGCGCGCTCAGGTGACGGTGAGACTGTGTTGTCTGTGGACACGGGAGGCCAGTCACCCCACAGAGCTGTCCTTACAGCTCCAGACTAGCCAAGGCTGGACGGTTCAGTGATGGTGACAGTTAATTCAACAAGGGTGACCAGGACCTACTACGTGCCCAGCATTGTTTCAGTTGCTGAATATGACATAATAATGGGAAACATTAAGAAATCACTGGATGTGTGCGTCACTAGCCAAAACCCAAGGAGGGGTTCTCATTACTATTACCATCATCCCATTTTCGAGGTGAGGACAGTGAGGCGGGGAGGTGACTTGCCCTGTCACTTGGGCAGGAAGTAGCAGAGCGGTGGTCTGACCCGCACTTGGGCCTGCCTGCTCAGGGGGGTGGGGGGTGCTGAGAGGGTGAGGTCTCCCCTGCCCAGCCCCTGCCGCTGGGCTGCCAGGAGGGTGGAGCCCTTGGCCAGAGCAGGGAGGGAGCCGCAGCAGTTCCCAGGAATGTGGGGCCGTTTGCTTTGGCAGCGTATCTGCCCTGGGCTCTCCAAGCCTCCCTGTGCCGCCCCCCCCCCCCCCCCCCCCCCCCCCCCGCCATAGCTCGCCCCTCCAGCGCCCACCCACCGCCTGCCGCCCCTCCTAGGCTCTGTACCTAACACCCACAAACCCCTGGGAAGGGATGGGGTGCTAGGCGGGAGGGCTTTTGCCCTCCCCTCCGCACACATCCATGGGCACAGAGGGTCTGGTGAGCCTGGCTTCTGGACTCACCTGGGCTTGCAATCTAGGTCTGCCTCAGACAAGCTGCGTGACCCTGGACAGGTCACTTAACCTCCCTGAGCTGCAGTGATTACATCTGTAAGATGGGGGGGCCCGGCACCTGCCTTCACAGGTGCTCGCTCTTCCCCTGGCTGTCAGCAGCTGGCTGTTGGTCCTGTTGTGGGGTGATGTGCGCCCAGGGCTTCCAGTGGGCTTGCTGCCCGCCCGGCCCTCAGTGTCCCCAGCTTTGGGAAGTGCATGTTGTTTGCGATGATCCCAAAGCAGCACAGGGGAGGCTGGGGACATGCTTCCCGCTCCGTGTGGGATCAGGAAGGCCACTGGGCTTCCAGAGGTGCATCCCGAGCTGTTGTCCCCGGGTCCTAGGCCAAAAGGGCCACGGCTGACCGAGAAAGGGCAGTTTGGGGACTACGGGGCAATCAGGGGTGTCCCTCCCCCCCACCTTACAGGGCGCTGGCCCGCCTCTGAGGGTGGGTATGCCCAGGCGCCCCCTCCGCGCTCCGCAGAGCGGAGTCCAGCCCACCGCAAGCCTGGTGAGCCCGAGCCTCAGTTTCCCCATGTGTACGGCCATGGCAAGGGCGGGCTGCGCTCCCAGGAGTGCCCCGGGCAGCGGCGCCCCGACACCCCCACTCGGTGCGCGCCGCGGGTGGGCTCCCAGGTGGGCGGGGCGGGGGTGCTCGCAGCGGCTGCACAATAGCGGCCATTGTCTGGGCCGGCGGCGGGGGTGCGGCCCACCCTCGGGGTGACCCCCGCCCCCGGGAGGCCGCGGCCCGCCGGTGGTCCCCGCGCCGCCCCGCTTCCTCCCGCTCCCCGGGCTCTAATTAGTTCCTTTCGCAGCTGGAGCGGCGGCTGGCGACCACCTCAGCGCCGCCTCCCGCCCCCCCCCCCCCCCCCCCGCCCCCGCCCGCCCTCCGGGTCCCCTGCCCCGCCCCCCGCCTGGGTGCTGGCCCGGCCGCCTCCCGAGGGGGCCCCCCCGCTGCGCCGCCGAGCCCGGGACGGTGCCACCCTGGCGGTCGCCCGCCCCCCTCCTCGGCCCCAGAACAAAGAGCAGAGCCCCAGTTCAGAACCAGCGTCTGCAGGCTGGGGGAGGGGGAAGGGGGGAGTGGAAGGAGCCGCCTCGAGGTCGGCCAAGGTCGGGACAGGGGAGGTCACAGGGGGTCTTCCCCTTGCTGTGGGGCCACCTTTGGGAGGACGCGCCTGGGTGGGGCCCGTCCTGGGGTTGGGGATGCTGAGAGCTGTGCGCCTTTGGGGGTGGCTTCTTTCTCCTTTCCCGGGAGTAGGGGGGTGGGGGCTGGGCCTCTGGACTGGGTTCTGGCTTCCATCCCAATGAAGCTCTGCCTCCCTGGGCAGAACCTAGTGACAGGAAGTGTGGGGGGGCTCTCTGGGGACTGGACCTGCTGGTTAAGGGGGGCGCCGGAGTCCCCACTCCCACCTGGGCACTGTGCCTGCCCCACCCTGGTTAACACACTCCTTTTTTGCAGGCCTCCCTAATTGTGGGTGGATGCAGGTCTCCTGCACATCTCCAGAACAAGATAACAGGGTCTAGGGATCCTCCCCGGACCCCTTCTGGCTTAGGGCAGAAGGGCAGATGCCAAAAAGGCTGTTACCTGGGCAGGGCTGCCAATCACAGGGTCAGTTTAAATTCCCAGTCCCCAAACCATCTTGCTACATGGTCCGGTTGGGGGTGGGGGAATGGAGGCTGTGGGGAGGCCTGTGGCCCTAGGCCAGCTGAAGGACCAGGCCACCAGCCCTTCCTGGCTCCTGAATTCTTAATCAGCATAAATATTTACTTCCTTCCTCCCCTTCCAGGCTCCCAGCACAGAGGAGCTTCAGGGAGGTTGGACTGGGCCTGTGTCTAAAAATAAACAGGTAGAGGGATAGGCAGACAGACAGACATAAGGGGAGGGGGGTCAGGCGGAGGGCAACTCCCTGTCCAGCCAGAGGGAGAGTGGAAGGGCCCAAGGTCCATCCATCACTGTTACCCACCCACCTGCCCACCTTGGGTCTGGAGCTCCTAAAGGACCAGGTGGCAGCCTGATGGGCATCTCTGGCCCATGCGTGGCCTGGGGGGCAAATCCAAACGGATCTGACTGCTCCTACCTAATGCAGTTTAACTGGGGCAAGTCAGGTCACAGATGGGGTCCCACGACCAAGTGTAGCTGTCCCTCCTTGGGCTCCTAGAGTTGCCATGTAGCTGGTAGGGTCTTGGAATGTCCTAGAAGCAGAGGGTCCTAATTTAGGTAGGGGACTGCCTTGTGTCCCCGTGTGCTTGGAGGGTCTTGGCAGAAGTAGAGCTTTTCAGGGGAGATGGATGAGCCAGGACCTGGCACCAGAGAAAACTGTTTAAAGTTGCTGAGGTACGTGGCCGGGAAAAAAGATGAGTAGGGCCATAAAGGCTGTCCTGCTCCTTCCAGCTCCGTGAAGCAGTTCTGCACACGGGTGGGCATCTCTGGTTCCCACGGGGGGAGAGAGAGGTGTGCATGTGTGCGCACAGCTGAAATGTGTGGTCATGTACCATGTGGCGGTTACAGGGATGTTCTGTATTAAGTTATGAAAATGTGGAAAGAATGGTGAATGACGTGGAGTGTCTCATAGTTTTGGCTTGTTTAGCGGATAGATTTTTGGGGTATAATCACCCCAATTAGCAAACACAAGGATACACTTTGACCACATGTGGAAGAATTGCCCCTGGAAAAACTTTTGAGTTTGGAATACAGCGTTGACCTTGCTTGCTCTCGGGTCATTTGTATGTGAAGAAAATCACGCCATTGAGAAGTTCTAAGGGATGGTGAAAATACCAGTGTGAGAACTTCTAATAAAAGAGTATCATCACCACTAAAAAAAATGATGTATGGTATATATTTTATTAACCACCCAGCAGAGCTGGTTCACTTCCCTCCAACCCTGTCCCTGGCTGGCCTGGCTGCACCACAGTCCCCAGCTGCCCCCTTGTGGTGGCTCAGAGCCCTCTGGCTCCATGGGCCTATCAGCACCTCTCTTCAGCACCTCCCCTGGGAGCAAGGGCATCTGTCTGCACCCCCATCCCTTGGGCCAGGCTCTGCACACCTTGCCTGAGACAGGCTCTCAGCTGCCTTCCCTTGGAGGTGACCACAGCTGCCCAGGAGCCCCGACACCAGCAGCACTTGTGATCAGTAGCTGAGAACCACTAGTGGCTTCCTTGGAGGATACCCGCTCTTGGCCTGGTTCTGGGCCCTCAGGCTCAAGCTGGGCATGTGATTCTGGGCACCACTTTCCACTCGGTCAGAAATGACATTTGGGACTTCACTGACCAACTCCAGGGAGGTCTGGCCTTCAACTGGTAGCTCTGCCACTTCTTAGCTCTGTGACCTGAGGCAGTGTCTCTAAAAATCAGTTTTCATGGCAAAATGGACCCTCTGAGCTTTGCCTCCAGAACTGACTTGAAGGTAGTGAAGATAGAAGCTCTCAGTAGGTGGCTGGCACTCATGCGACCTGGGGCCAGAGCCACTTGGAAGGTCCCCCTTCCCAGGGAGACAGCCTTCAGGCTGCTGCACATCCACACCTCCCTCCCCTGGCGGCTTCAGGGGCTGCAGCAGGAGAAGCCTGAGGCCACGGTGTCACAGCACAGCTCTTGTCCTCCCCCAGGTTCCTGCCTGAATACCAGCTTGGGAACTCCCCACTGCCCGCAGCCACCTCCAGCGCAGCCCCCCATCACCATGCACTCCTTGGACGAGCCGCTCGACCTGAAGCTGAGCATCACCAAGCTCCGGGCGGCGAGAGAAAAGCGGGAGAGGACGCTGAGTGTGGTCCGGCATCGAGCTCTGCACAGGGAGCTTGGCCTGGTGGATGACAGCCCCACGCCAGGCTCCCCAGGCTCTCCGCCCTCAGGTACAGCACCCCTGGTGGGGCTGGGGCTCCCAGGCCCCGATGGAGCCATGGCAATGGGAAGAACGTCTGGGGTGTATCCCCCAGGACGTAACCAGGCCCCTCACGGCTTTCAGCTTAGAGCTCTGTCCCTTTATTCTCCATCTCTGGAGGGGACATTGTCCCCGGGGGGAGGCAGCTGCCCAGTTCATGAAGCTGGCACAGCAGAGCCAGGATTCAAACCAGGCCTCTGAGAAGACATGGAGGAGCTAGTAAGGGGGAGCAGGCAGCTCACAAGCAGTGACAAAGGCCCTGTGACCCACCTCCTGGGCTTCAAGGCAGCACAGCCAGTCAGTCAGGTCCGGGGAGACTGGGGACCAAGCCCAGCAAGTGCTTCTCAGGGGGTGCTTGGGGCTCAGGACATCTGCTCTGCTTCCTTGGACCCTGAAAACCAGACCTCCATGTCTGAGCTAGAGGGCTCTGGAAGCAGCCTGGCCCAAACCCCTCATGTTACACAGGGAGCAGTGAGGCAGGAAGGGGCCCAGGAGGAGTCAGAAAGGTCCCTACCTGCCAGTGTGACAGTGAGCCAGGAGCCTGGCTTCCAATTCCTGCTCACTGGGTACTTTCCACTTCTGGTCTTAACCAACGGCTGACCTCTCGTGGCAGCAAAAGTCACATTGGTCAGCTGTGCAGGTGGCTGCTCAGATGCTTGGGGTCCCGGGGTGGTTTGGGGTGTGGCTCCCAGGGTCACAGGAGGGTGGTTCAGAGGACTCAGCTCCAGCGTCCCTGAATAGTGCTTCTCCCTTAGGCTTCCTGCTGAACCCCAAGTTCCCTGAGAAGGTCGAGGGACGCTTTTCGGCAGCACCTCTGGTGGACCTCAGCTTGTCACCGCCATCTGGGCTGGATTCTCCCAATGGCAGCAGCTCGCTGTCCCCCGAGCGCCAGGGCAATGGGGACCTGCCTGCAGTGCCCAGTGCCCCGGTAAGGAGGGTGTGAGGGTTCTGGAAGAGGTGCATTGGTTTTCTGGAAAGGACCACAAACTAGGTGGCTTAGGACAACAGAAAGGTATTATTCCGTCAGTCCTGGGTGCTGAAGCCTGAAGCAAGGTTGTGCTCTGTCCCAAGGCTCTGGGCAAGATTATTCCCTCACTTCTTTCCAGCTTCTGTTGGCTCTCAGTGTTCCCTGACTTGTAGCTGTGTCACTTCAACCTCTGCCTCTGGTGTCACCTGCCTTCTTCCCTCTCTTGTGTGTCTCTGAGTTCAAATCTCCCTTTCTCTTATGAAGACATCCATCACTGGATTTAGTGCCCCCCAATCCAGTATGACCAGGGGTGGGGGGCAGAGGGAGAGGGAGAGAGAGAATCTTAAGCAGGATCTAGGCCCAGGGTGGAGCCGAAGCCGGGTTTGATCTCCCGACCCTGCCATCATGCCCTGAGCTGAAATCAAGAGTCAGACTCTTAACCGACGGAGCCACCCAGGTGCCCCGAGTATGACTTCTTAACTTGACTACATCTGCAAAGACCCTATTTCCAACTAAGGTCACACCCACAGGTACAGGGACATATGACCCTGGGGGCCGACTCAACCTGCCACAGAAGGAGACACAGGGGGTCTGGGTGCGCTGGCCCGGGTGGGAGCACTGACAGCTCTGCCCTTCCCGTCTTCCCCAGGACTTCCAGCCACTGCGCTATCTGGATGGCGTCCCAAGTTCCTTCCAGTTCTTCCTGCCTCTGGGCTCCGGGGGGGCCCTGCACCTGCCTGCTTCCTCCTTCCTCACCGCCCCCAAGGACAAGTGCCTCTCGCCAGAGCTACCCCTGCCCAAACAGCTGGTGTGTCGCTGGGCCAAGGTGAGTGGGGGGGCGGGGGCTGGGGCTGGGGCTGGGGCCAGGGCGGCCCCATGTAGACCCAGAACTCTCCCCGGCCCCACAGTGTAACCAGCTCTTTGAGCTCCTGCAAGACCTGGTGGATCACGTCAACGATTACCACGTCAAGCCTGAGAAGGACGCAGGGTACTGCTGTCACTGGGAGGGCTGTGCCCGCCATGGCCGAGGCTTCAACGCCAGGTGAGGGAGGGTGGGTGAGAGGGGGGCGGGGGGAAGGGGCTCGGGTGTCAGGCGAGCTGAGCCGAGCTCCCCTGTGCCCTCCCTGGAGCAGGTACAAGATGCTCATCCATATCCGCACACACACCAATGAGAAGCCGCACCGCTGCCCCACCTGCAGCAAGAGCTTCTCACGCCTGGAAAATCTGAAGATCCACAACCGGTCGCACACAGGTGAGGAGCTGGGCTGGAGGGCGGGGGCTGGGCGGCTGGGCATCCTGCGCATCCAAGGAGGCGGCGGAGGGGAGGGGGGCAGTCTCATTGCTTAGCAGTCCTGTTCCAAGTGCCACTCCTGGCTGAAGCCTCTCCTGTGGGTGCGACCCTCGACATCCACCCCTGGAGCACTCAGCACTCAGCATGTGATCGTCCACGTGCTGCCACCTGGGAGGTAGTGTGTGCTTGCTCCTCACCGGGCTCCAGCACACCGTGGGGCCGGCACTGGTGAACAGAGCCACACACCTAATTTTAAATTTACTAATTGCAAAAAAAAATTTTTAATTAAAAAAAATTCTAATTGCCACATTTAAAAAAAAAGGATAAAGGGATAGGTGAAATGAATTGTAATGAAATATTTTCTTGAATCCGATATATTAAAAAAAACTATCAATGAGACGCTGGAATTATTTTGTACAAAGTTGTGGAGTCACAACCCGGTGCGTATTTTTCCCCTCGCTCACAGCCCATCTCTGTTTGGGCCAGCCGCACTTCAAAGGCTCAGGGCTGCGAGTGGCCATTTCGTGGACCCAGAGGTGTTCTGCTGAGCCAGGACCAAATACAGCACAGGGCACCGTCTCGCGGGGGTGACCTGGGCCGCCTCCCAGTGGGTCTTCCCGGGAGTACACACGCAGATTTGTGGGTTGAAGCGGTCACGTCATCCAGAAATTAAAGCACAGGACGGAGGCCGGAGGCACACAGGGCTGGCTTCTGTGGCTGCGCCCCGTCGTCCCCACCCGGGATCAGATCTTGTGCCGGGTGCTGGGGACACCGTCCCCCACATCAGACAGTCCGCGCTCTCGGGGAGGTCTCGGTGTCGGGTGGGGGGCCTGGGGCTGCCCGGCGTGTGGGTGGGGGTTAGGACACTGGGCTTGGGAGAGGCACCTCACGCCGCCCCGCCCCGCAGGTGAGAAGCCCTACGTCTGCCCCTACGAGGGCTGCAATAAGCGCTACTCCAACTCCAGCGACCGCTTCAAGCATACGCGCACCCACTATGTGGACAAGCCCTACTACTGCAAGATGCCCGGCTGCCACAAGCGCTACACGGACCCCAGCTCGCTGCGCAAGCACATCAAGGCCCACGGCCACTTCGTGTCTCATGAGCAGCAAGAGCTCCTGCAACTGCGGCCGCCCCCCAAACCACCACTGCCCACCCCTGATGGCAGCCCCTATGTCAGCGGAGCCCAGATCATCATCCCCAACCCTGCTGCCCTTTTCGGAGGCCCAGGCCTGCCCGGCCTGCCCCTCCCCCTGGCCCCTGGCCCCCTTGACCTCAGTGCCCTGGCCTGTGGCAACGGTGGGGGCGGTGGGGGTGCAGGGGGCATGGGCCCCGGGCTGCCGGGCCCCGTCTTGCCCCTCAATCTGGCCAAGAACCCGCTGCTGCCCTCACCCTTTGGGGCTGGTGGACTGGGCCTGCCGGTGGTCTCCCTCCTCGCTGGCTCCGCTGGCGGCAAGGCTGAGGGGGAGAAGGGGCGTGGGGCAGTGCCCACCAGGTCTCTGGGCATGGAGGGCCGCAAGACCCCCCTTGAGAGGACGGAGAGCAGCCGCTCCCGGCCAAGCCCCGACGGACTGTCCCTGCTGCCCGGCACCGTGCTGGACCTGTCCACGGGCGTCAACTCCGCGGCCAGCAGCCCAGAAGCGCTCACTCCTGGCTGGGTGGTCATCCCGCCAGGCTCCGTGCTGCTCAAGCCGGCCGTGGTGAACTGACCGCCCAGCGGACAGCTACCTGCGGCCCTGCCCCTGACGAACGGAAAGTCTTCTGCGAAATAGCAATAATGTCCTCCTGCCCCCGGGGCCTGGGTGGCTGTGTCCCCCCCCTGCCCCCCGGTGGTCCCAGCCCCAGACAAAGCTGGGCAGCAAGGATGGTGCTAGAAGGTCATTGGTGGTGTCCCAGGCTCCGGAGGGGGAACTGGCCCTGCCAGCCAGGGAGGGCTGTGCTCCCGGGTGCTGAGGCCTTGCTCACCTCTGGCCCCCCCCCCCTCGGTCCCCCAGGCCGCCCACCCTGGTGCCTCCCTCATTCAGTCGCCAGCCTGGGTCGGTGACCCTCCCTCCCTGCCTTGCCCACCTGCTAGGCCTGTCCCCGTCCTGCCTAGCCTCTCTGGGCCCCTGCTCTGGGGGCTTCTTGGACCCCTTTCCCTCTGGCCCACCCTCCAGAGGGAGAGCAAGACAGACGCAGGCAAAGCCACAGGAAGAAGCCACCATATCCCTATGACAAGGTGCCTCCAACCTCAGAGAGGGAGGCCCGCTCTGCCAGCTGCCCCTCACCACTAGCCCGTCCAAAACCAGCCAGCACTACCTGAGGGTTGGCCCCTTCTCTGGGCTGGGTGCTCTCCAAAGCGAGGGGATTGCTGACCACTCCCCTGCCCCTTCCCTGCTGGGCCTCCTCCCTCTGCTTTCAGGGAGCCCTGAGTGAGGAGGCCAGACGCGAGGACCCTGGGCCCTCATTTGGCTCAGGGAACGGTGGGGCAGGGCCTGGCCTGGGGCAGTGCTACTCAGCACAAGGGACTCTGGAGGCTCGCAGGGCTTCAGTAGGTGGGAGGCTGGCTGGGGACAATCCCAGGCTGGGGCACAGCTCCCATTCTGGGGGTGCCAAGTCACAGCCGGCACATGGGGGAAGGTAGGGCTCCAGGTCAGTGCTGGGTTTGCGAGCTTTCCAGAGGCCACAAACTGAAAACCCTGGGCTTGGGGGTGGTGAAGCCACGGGAGGGCCCCTCTGTTGGGAAGGGGGGAAGAGGAAGGAACCCAGGGTTTACGACATGGCTGTTTCCTTTGGCTTTTCCTAACTAAGCCTCTGTCCTAGAGGTGTCCCCACCCCCCACAGGGCATGGGCCGGAATAAGCTAAGGATGCTGGTGTTCCACTGCCCCATCCTGTCAGGCCCGGGGGGCCTCAGCATAGGCACACCCCCACCCTTGCTGTTCCCTCTGGAGGTGGCCTGGCAGTCAGGACTTTTGGCTCCACAGCCACATGACCAAGCACTCCATTTCCCCTGCTGTAGAACAGGGAGCTGCAGGCCAGTAGTGGTGGCGGCAGCAGCCCAGCAGCTCCAGGGTCTCCCAGCTGCTCCTCTGAGCAGCTCTGCAGACTCCACCGTTTCCTGGACCGCCCTTCTGTCCTAGAGGGGTCACCCTGACCCGGCCTGCCCTGACAGGGCCTGGCAGTGCTGGCTCTGCCCCTTGAAGGGGCTGTGAGTGAAGCAGGAGGGAGCTGGTCTCCTTTCTTCGGGCCCCCCAGGACCCAGGCCTTAAGTCCCCAGTTGGGGGTGAGGGCTTTGAGACTCAAGCCCAGGGAGCAGAGGAACAGGGCACTGAAAGGTGACATTAGCTCAGCATGTGACTTGGTGACAGACCAGGCTCGAGAGGGCTGGTGTACGTGTTGTTGTTGTGGGTTTGTTGTTGCACATTCCAGGATATCAGTATTTTAACAGGTTCTAAGTGCCTTTCTATTGTAGCTTATGTTTTTCCTCCTCTTGGCTCCATTGCTGTTAGCATAGAGTTTAAAAAAAAAAAAAAAGATAAGCTAATGACTATAACAATATATTCCTCCATGTGAGAGGAAGTTTATAAAGAAACAATAAAAGTGAGTTGCAAAGATGGTTTCTGTCTTGGCTGTGCCATGAGCGGAGCCGCCCTTCTTGAGAACGCTGACTGCCCCGTGCCTGGTTTGGGTCAGCACGGGCCCTGTTCTGGGGCTTCCTTCCAACCCTGTGGATGCCACAACGGCCAGACCTGCTCCTGGGAGCTGGGAGGGAGCAGGTCCTGAGGGCACTGAGATGGAAGATTCTGGATGAAGCATCATGGCTCCGGGTCCTCATCCTGCCACCACCTGCTGTGACTTCGGTGAGCATCTCACTTCTGGGGGAGACACAACTCCCTGGCCTCAGTCCAACCAGAGTCTGGCAAAGGCTTCTCTTTCCCGGCGTCACTGGAACATTCCACCCAGATTCCAGAGATGCTGGACTGAAACCCAGCTCAAGGAGAGGTGGCCTGTGACAGAGCCAGGGGCCCAGGGCTCTGTACCCAGAGGGAAGGGCAAGGGCAAGTCTGAGGATGGTGATGCTGGAGGGGCCTGGAGCTGGCGCCCTAACAACAGGAGTGGCCATGTCTGGTACGTGACAGCTCAGTGGGCAGGGCTGGACTGGCTGGCTTCTGGCCAACCTCACCCACCCCAGCCCTGCAGGGTGTCAAAGGCATGTTAACAGGGATATAGTGCTGCTGCCTCCCCTCCTCACTGGCCGGAAGAGCAGCCTGCCTTCTGGAATCTGGATATGTGCATTGAAAAATGCAGAAAAGACATTTATTACCAAACTATAAATTAGAGGTGGATGGGGTGCAGTAGGAGGAGCTGAGTGGTCACGTTTTGGGCATCTGCTCCTTCTCTCTGTCCTCCTGGGCCTGGATCCTGAGCTCCTCCTGCAGGCGCTCCCAAGCTCGGACCACCTGGGGAGGGAGTTAGAACCGGGTAGGGCAGTGAGCGAGCGGGATGGGCCTCTGTCCTTTCCGGTCCCCGCAGAACAGTGGGCATATCTGAGCTAACAGCTTGGGAAACACAAGCGCTGCCTCTGCCGGTGCGCAGCATTCCCCAGGCGACCAGGCCCAGGCACACCCTGCCATCTGCCAGCTAGTGGTCCTGTTCCTCACAGCCATGGCTGCTAGGAGGGCCACTCCCCAGGGTGACAGAGGGCCCAGGCCAATTCAGCCCAACCAGCCAGGCCCTGTGGAGCTGAGATAGCCAGAGGGAGTGGCAGTCGAGGGGAAGGACCTGGGGCCTTCCTGCCTGTCAGGCTCTGAACTGCCTAGAAATAAGGGACCCCCAGTAAGAACAGGCCCTTGGCTTAACCTCCTCCCAACCTCAAGAGCACTTACCTTGGACTGCAGGTAGAAGGAGCCACCCACGGATTTATCATTCACCTTGAACAGGTGTTCGTAGTTCTGTGAGGGGGGGGATACGACACACGACACGGTGAGAGGGTGTGCGGTCTCTGGGTTACAGAGGCAGGGGAAGCTAGGAAATGACAAAGAAGGAAAGCCAAAGGGTTCAACCCTGCTGCCCCACGTGCCCTGCTATGCAACCCCAGAAGCCACCTGTCACTGCTAGGGGACAGAAAGGTGGACAGGTGCCCACGGAGGGAAGGGACTCCGCCTTGACCACTGCCTGCCTTGGGCCTAAAAACAAAGGAGTGACAGCAGCTCCCACAACGAGGGCGTCCACACTGGCTGCAGCCACAGCCTCCATATCTGCCCCTTTCCCTGGGCCACCTTCACTCTTCCTGATCCTGGTGGCCTGACCCTGCAGCCCCTGATCTGGTCTGCCAAGGCAAGGCCTGTCTTGGAACCAGTCTCACCTTTTGGATCTCCTCCGGGCTCAGTTTGGAGACATTGAGAATCTGCTGGGCCTCTTGGAGGCTGAGGCCAGACAGGTTGGAGGCAGCTGCAGACTGGTGTCCAGCACGTCCTCGAGCATCAGCTGCTGCCCGGCTGGCTGTGTGGACACACGGGTGAGTGCTCAACCTTTAGCAGCCCAGGGGTTCCCCTGGGCATTCCAAGTGGGCAGCTCAGCCTGCCAGGTGGCAGGGGAAAAGACACATGCAGGGACAGGGTGCATCCCTTCTCCAGGAGCGGTTGTATTTGGGGGAGGGGGTGGGGAGTATATGAAGTGAGGACAGATTTACCTCACTGGGACAGTGGGCAAGGGGTATGGTTCCAACCTAGAGCACGAGAGGTCCCTGTCCCCCGTTTCTCCCTTACCCCTCATCCCAAGTGACAGCATGTTGGGGAGCCTTAGGCCATAATGGGAAGCAGAGTGAAGCTGCAGGTGGGAAGAGGCAGTAATAGCTCAGTTGAGACCTGGCTGCCCACCAGTTACCTAGGCCACCAAAGCAGGTGGCTCAGGTGACCTCTTCCCTTTCAGTGACCCTAGATTCAGGAGCCATTAAACTTTTTCTTAAAGGGTCAAAGAGTAAATATTCTAGGTTTTGCAAGCCAATTAAAGTCTGTGTTGCAATTACTTGACTGCCCTGTAAGCAGCCAGAGGGTATGGCTGTGTTCCAATAAAACTTTATTTACAAAAATAGGTAGCCAGGTGAACAAGCTTGCCAACTCCTACCTCAATGTTCAGGTCAACCAGGTTTCCCTTTTATGAGAATGTCCTAAAATCCCACAATGCCCCCCCCCCCCCCGGAAATGCCAGGTAGCCAGAACCCCAGCCTGCAGAGGGGTTTCCTGCATTCACCATAGGGCCACAATGAGGGGCCACAGATAGGAGGAAAATGTGACCTGGGCAGGAACTCCCAGGGGCTCAGGCTTACCTGCAAACTCCTGCCGCAGGGCCCGGGCAAAGGCCCTGCCCACCACCTGCACCCCCATCACAATGATCTGGGCCAGGTATTTGGCCTGTGGGCAAAGCAGGTACCTGGTTAGCAGGTTACATTCTCCAGAGACGGGACCCTGGAAGTGGCTGCTGAATGTAAGGTCTCTGAGGTTGTGAAGCACAGAGCAGCAGCCACAGGCAACTTCTTCCAAAGTACCCTGACAAAAAGCCTCTGCTTTGGGTGGCTTCAGGTGCTCACTGGATAGACGGCTGGGGGGTGAATCTGAGGGAGTCCCCAGAGGCAGATGGGACCCCCCTGATCTTCAGACAGGAGGACAGGGACTAAGGCAATGGGGCTGCAGGGCACAGAGACTTCAAAAGCAACACTAGGGCACAGAGCAGAGCCAGGGGCTCATCCCAGACCCACCACAGATTCATCGCTGCCAGGCCAGGCCTTCCATGCTTCTGGGATGGGCAGTTCCAATCTCTGTTCAACCAGTAGGAGACTCCAGGAGCCTGGCGCTACCCCAAGACTATTCACCACTCTTCCAAACAACAGAACAAAAGAGAAAAAGACTCTCCACCTTCAAGCAGCCAAGAGCCCACTAGGGAGGTACTTAGCCAAAGATACCGAGGACCAACTGGTGAGGGAGAGGACTGGTCACCAGTTCCTCCACTGGTTCAAACACATGCAGCGTCAGCTAAGCTTGCTCAGCGCTCAGCCTACAAGGACACACAGGAGCCAGCTGTGTCCGCAGAGCTCCTGCACACTGCCTATTTCTACTGGGCTGGATTTTGAGGGCAGGGAGAATCACAATGGGAATATTGGGGCTTTCAAGGCAGAGGGACCGGGGTGAGCCCAACAGGAGAAAACGTAAAGGTTGTCCTTTACGTAAAGGGAGCAGGCAAGAGCATAGGGAACTTGTAAAGTCGTTCGGGACAAGACGAAATAGGTGGCTGAGATGGGAAACCACCCAGACTTGACTGAGGACAGAGATTATATACAGACAGCACACTGGGAAATGGCCGGGTGTGGGAGACAGTGCAACACGGGTGTGCAGAGGCCCCAGAGCACCCCCACTGCAGGTCGACACCACTCACGGGGGCACACCCCATGGTTCCCCTTCCTCTTCTCTGCACTTGTCTGCAGTCACATGTTCTGCGAGTCAACAAGTATCACCTCATCCTGGGTGCCAGTCACTGTGCTATTTAACCCAAAAACTCGACACGAGGACCAGAGGTTTAGTGATCAGCCTGAGGACAGGGCTAGGACCCCAAATCGGTGCTGTTAGCCATGGCCTCCACAGGCCGCCCACCACACACAGCATCCTGCAGGGAGGGCAACTGAGCAACCTGACCAGGATCGAGGACCCAACCCAGAGGCCAAAGAATAGCTCATCAGATTCCAGGGGGATCTGGACTCCAGAACTGCCCTTGTTTGGCTTCCAATGAACCTGCCCCTCATGGGCGGGGTGAGATGGTAGTTCTGGGACGTTAGTAGTAAAAAATAAATGGACGTGGTTTGGATTTCACAAGTAAGTTGAAATTTCATAAGCTCTGTATTTCACACCAGAAAGCAGAGCTCAGCGAAGGCTCCAGTGATCAAAGGGAGGGGGTGGTGCTGCAGACAGCTGCAGTGCAGGTGTCAAGACAAATAACGGATGCACTGCAGGTTGGGAAGTTGCCCAACTTCTCCCTCCGTGCCCAAAGCCCCTCTGAAGCGGGACAGGAGGTTCCCTGATGGACTTCTGGTCCCGTCTGAGTTACAGAGAAGCTGACAGGCCAGTAGGTGACTTCACAGGGTTCTCTCGGCCTACACACCCCTCGGGCCTCAGACCATACCTTTACCTGCTGCCATAGACCCCAGTGCAACCTCACTTCTCTGCCCTGAGTAGTGGCTGTTGCTCAACAATGAACGTTAAGGACTGAGACTGTAACTGGGCAGCTTCCCTAGCTGGCGCTGCTGGCTTCAACCACAGTGGCACAGTGGCCCCATCATTCCTGCTGCCAGAGATCCATGGCTGCAGAACAGGCTGGGGTAGCCTGCAGTTTCAGAGTCTACCCTGGCTGGCCAAGGGAGCAGCCTGGCTGGCCCACCGAGGCCACGAATGTTCCTGTGGGAGGCTTCTCCAGGGGATGAAGTGTGGTGTGTGGTCATACAGGCAAGCTCTGGGATCACCTGTGTGCAAATCCCAGCTGTGTGCCCTGCACAAGCTCTTATGTTCCCTAAGCCTGTTTCCTCACCTGTGAAATGTGGTCAAAAACAGCACTGTCAGATGGATGTGATGAGACAATGCAAAGTGCATGACACAGAGTCTGATGATATAGTAGGTACTCAATAAATGTCGCTTTTCATTTATTACACTGATTTCACAAAACCGGACAATGGTCAGATACTATGGAGTAGCAAAGCCTTTCCCAATAAGGCAACTCATTTGATATAGCCACTGATTCCTCAGGGGAGAAGGCTGCAAAAAGCCAGGCTCCGTGCCAAGAGCACTGAGAAGCAGTGTGGAAGAGGAGGGAGGGAGAGGACTGCTTTGGAGCTTAAACCTGGACTCCCAGCTTGTCTTCGCTAGCTGTGTGGCCCTGCATAAATTACTCAACCTCTCTGAACCTGTTTTCTTATCTGCAAAACGGAGAGAATCATACCTTCCTTACAGGAGGGCTGCAAGGTCCTCAGAAGGCAATCCACATAAACCCAACCAGTCAGTGGCAGGTTCAAAGCAGCCCAACAGCTGCCTTTGCTTCTGGACTAGACCCTGCTTGGTGCTGGATGGTCCAGACATCAGGCAGTATGGCCAAGCTTCTCATCCACCTATTCAGGACCCAGTGCCAGCTGTGGGTCAGCCAGATCATTGTTCCGCCAGTTACAAGAGGAGATGATGGCAGCCACTGGCTGAGGTCTCTCCTAGAAAGTCCCCAAACATCCCATAGTCCACTGACTGACACTTGGGCCTGAAGACCCTGGAAAAGAACAGCCAGCTGACATGGCATCCAACTCAGGCCAAGCTGCCAGTCGAGGAGCAGAGGTCAGAGACACAGGTCGCCGAGCCTGGGAGCCACTGTGGATGACACATCTGCTTTCTCATCTGAGGAACGACATAGCCCAATGCAGAACCACAGCTCTGCAGCTGGGACAGAAGACCACAGGCAAGCGTTAGGGGACATGGAGGAATGTGGTGCATCTCAGGTGAGGTGCATTACGAAGGGAACCTGGTTTTCAGACAGCTAGGATGTGCAATGTTCCCTTCAAAGCTTAGTTCCCAGCCCCTGGGCTGCTGGGCAGACACTGCCACTGGGACTCACCCCCTTCTTGAGGATGTTCACCCCAAAGCCCCTGCAAACAGCTGCTGGCATCACGACTAGGCGGGAGGGCAGTCAGGACCACAGTAAGCCTGGTGCCCCCGCCTATGGCTGGCATGGCAGCCCAATCGATCGTATTTGAATGAATGTGACACTTAACCAGGCCATCATCAGCAAAACTATGCCCCCAGACAGGGTTTCCAAATGCCTACCGCTCCCTCTGCTGGAGGACTCAGGCCATCCTCCAATACACACAACTCCACGGCCAGGGCCTGCAAATTCAGCCCACTTCTCAGCGGGGCAATCTCACCTTGGACAGCTACAACTGCTCTGGTTTTCTCTCCCCTCACCTCTCGGCCCTGCAGCCACACCATCTACTTCTAGATCAGCTCTTACTTCTTTTACCCCCATGTCTCCCAACACACACACACCATACAAGTCACTCGAGTATTCAGTGGTTTTAGGGTATTCACATACCTCTGTAAACACACTAAAAAGTACAGAATATTACTAGTCCTAGAACATTTTCATCACCCCCCCCAAAAAAAAACAATACCCATTAACCTTGACTACATCGTCCCTACTACTCTGATACTCTGTCAAAACCCAACATCCTTCGAGACTTAACAGGAGGGATGCCTGGGTGGCTGCCTTTGGCCCAGGGTGTGACCCCAGGGTCCTGAGATCGAGTTCCACATCGGGCTCCCTGCATGGAGCCTACTTCTCCTGCTGCCTGTGTGTCTGCCTCTCTTTGCGTTGCTCACGAATAAATAAAATCTTAAAAAAAAAAAAAGACAACACAATACTTCCATATTCCCTCTAAGCCAAACCTTCCCAGAGCACTATCTGTTCTGTCCTATTTTACAGACTTGCCTGATTCCTCCTTTAGAATACAGACTGGTCCAGAGCAACATTTTACGTGGCTCTTGAGGGGGGCTCAGAGTTACAGGCAGGAATGCGTGAGCAGGCGGCGGTCCAAGGGTTGGGCATGACCCGGCTCAACACCCGCCTCTGGCACCGCTGGATGAAACGACCCTGGAGGAATCCAACTCTGAGATTCAGGCTCCTTCTCTGTGAAATGGGGACCATGGCCCTATGCATTTCACAAGCATTAAATGAGAGAATCCACGTAAGGCTTCCAGTGCAAGGGCCTGGGCCTTGCAAGCTCTTGTGTTATCCTTCTTATTGATTAAGAAGGGGCTCCCCAAACCGGCTGCCTCAGTCACCCGGGGGGAGGGGGGGCTTCTAGAACCTCCGAGGACAGAGCTCAGGATGCTGCGTGTTTAAAGGGTCCCCAGGGGACTCGTCGCCGCCAGCGTGGCCCGGGTCTGCGGACTGGCTTCGGGTGCCACAGGAAACGCGGAGACGCTCAGCCTTCGGGGTCGCGGGGCCCGCTCGAGCCCCAGGCCCGCCACTTCCTTGGCAAAGTCTCGGCGCCCGTTTCGTCCGTTTCCAAAGGGCGACACCGCCAACGGGCCGCGCGGCCGCGCAGGGCTCCCGGGCTGGACCCGGCCTCCGGCGCGGCAGGGGGCACGCGGCGGCCGCCTGTGCTGGGCATTTTCCGGCCAGCCAGGCCCGCGCCGCCTTCTGGGCGAGAGGCCTCCGTGGCCCCGGGCCGCCGGCCCCCGCCGCGGTCCTCCCGGTGCGACGCTCCCCGGCCCCGGCCCCGGCCCGGCCTCCCTCACCGCCCGGCAGCGCCCGCTCGTGCCTCACCATGCTGGCCGCTCCGCCTCAGGGTTGCGGGCTTCGGCTTCCTGGCCCCGCGGCCCCAGCTCAAGGGCGGCCGGCAGGTCAGAGGTCAAGGGAGAGAGAGCGCGTGCGTGACGCCGCGTTGGGCATGCGCGTTGCTCCCTCCGGGGGACGGGACGGGACCCGTGACGTCACGGCGGTGGGCGGAACCGCGCTCGGGTGATGGGCGGTCCCAGGACCCGCGGTGGCCCTCGCGTTCGCCCTGCTGCGCGACGTGCCCCAGGATAGACACATCTGTCAAATGCGGGGCAACCTCTTCCCTGGATTTTGCCAAGATATTTGGTACTAAAGGACATGAAGTAAACATACAACACCCCACGAAGAGGAGGATGCCAAAGGCTCACAAATATGTAAGAAAACAGGAAACCTCGAAATGGGCTTCCTTCTAGTTTCCTTCTGTCTGGAAAAGAGATCTCACTCTCTCCCCCTTCAAGTGCTTGCTCGGATGTCACCTTCCCAAGGAGGCCCACCCCGACCTGCTACCAACGCTGCAACTTGCCCCGCATTCTTTTGAGCTTTAGTAACCCTTTTGGGATAAAGTTCACACACCATCCGGTTCACTAAAGTGCATAATTCAGTCAGCGCTTCTTGTGCAACCATCACCACTAGAACACCAGAACATTTTCATCACCCCCCCCCAAACTCCCTTCGCATCAGCTCTGGCCACCGCCCCCCCAGGCCGCTGACCACTAAGCTTGGGCCCGTCTATGGTTTGTCCCCTGTGAACAGCTCTTGGAAGTGGAATCATCCTGTCTGTGGCTTCTGTGTCTGGCTCTCAGTCCCCTCTATTTTTACCCCCAAAGTTCTTACTCATCGCCTTCTACTGTATTATAGAATTCATTTATTTTATGTGCGCTGCTTATAATCTGTTCTTTCCCCCAGAAGGTGGATCCCTGGTGGGCAGGACTTTCCTCTTTTCTCCACTCTTGGATGGGTGGCCGGCACGTGAGAGGCACTCAGCACACCATCACTGAATGAACATAAATTGGGCTGCCCTGGATTGTTTTGGACCACCGCCCTCTCCTCCAACTCTCCAAATTTTCTTCCCTCAGTGCAGTGGCTGCCCTTCCTTTTGTCTGAAGTGTTCTCTCAGCTCTGTGGCTCAGTCGCCTTCAGGTCTTGCCTCTCTTGACTTTGCACACCCTGCTCTCCCTGCATCTCCGTGGCTCCCTTTCACATTTTTTTTTTTTTTTTTGTGAATTAAGCAATCTCTATGCCCAACTCACTACCCTGAGGTCAAGAGTTGCACGCTCTACCAACTGAACCAGCCAGGTGCCCCTATTTTGTCTTCCTTACAGGTCTCCTTACAGTTTGCTTCTTTGCACACAGTCTGGCTGGCCTGCACAGGAAGACTCTAACAAGTACCTTGAGAGGCCCGTTCATCACCATCCAGAGCAGTATCCATGTGCTAGATGAGTGAACTAACTTAACTTGTAGCAGCTGAAAAGGCTTCAAGAACAAAGTGAGGCCTGGGGCAAGGGGAAACCCAGAGCCAAAATACCCTCACACATACTCCTGTCCCCTTCCCCTTCCAGGCAGCCAAGAGACCACAGCAGCACAAAAGGTGGCCAGTTTAGAAAAGTTTAATTGCTGAAAACATCCAGGGTATATTCAGGCCAGTACCTGAGGGGTTCACCCCCGCCCCTTAATTGGGCCATCAGCTCTGTAATGCTCCCTTTCTCCTGGTTTCAAACCTGAGGAAGAAGGCAGCTGGTCCCTGGCCCCTGAGACTGGTGCTGCTCCAAATGGCCTGGCAGGGGGCCAGCCCCCAAGGCTCTTGACTAGAAGTGGAACAGCAGGCAAGACGGCATGGCACATAATGACTGAAGGTGCTGGGCAAAGTCAGCTCAGGCTGGGACCAGCCCAGGAATGTGCTACAGACCCCCCACTCCCTTCCCACCCCACTCCCATGCCCCTGGCTCCACATGCTAGCAGGCAGCTGAGGAAAAGCAGCCAGTCCCATAGAAAGCAGAGGTGCAGACAATCCACAGGAGTTGCAGCAGGGCCCAGAGGCCATAGAAGTGCCCAAGGCCCAAAGGAAGCCAGGGCTTTTGGGACAAGGTGTGCCAAGGCCAAGGGCCATCTTCCAGTTGAAGGGTGAGATGTGAGGTGTGCGGAGGGGGGGGGGGCCCACACCAGGTGCTTCTAGGAGGTGGCAGCAGCAGGTGAGGCTAGAGGTAGCTGGTGGGCAGGCTAGTCCTGCGGAGATAAACCAAGGGGGAGGGGTTTAGAGGTGGAGAAAGGAGGGTGGTGCCTGCTGCAAGGTGAGGGAGGGAGGGAGGGAGGAGGTGCCAGGGCCCTCTCATCCACTCACCCACTCGTCCTCGTCCACACCTTCAAAGGAGTCCTGGGGGAGCGGATCCTCCCGGTTCCCCAGCTTTGCCACCATAGCATTTAGCAGCTAGGAGAGTAGACAGAAGAAGTGGTAAGAAGGAAACAGAATAAGACTTCTAACCCCAGGAACACAGGACCCTATACTTCAAATCCCATCAAGGTTGTGAAAAAAGCCATTTTCATCAGAGCCATGACAAAGTGGATGCTTTTCACAGAAAAGCCATCTCAGCAGAGATCAGATTGCTAGAGGCAGGCTGACTTGCAGCACTGGAGTCCCAGGGAAGCCGTCTCCGCACACTGCCTCAGACACTCAAATGTGTGCCAGGGTCCCAAATGCACTTGGCTCTGTTTGGGTTGAGCCAGGTCAGAGGGGGGCTTCTTCTGCCCTTCCCTGGCTTCCTGCATCCTGTGCCCCATGGGTCAGCTTCAGGGCTCTGAAAGATCTCCCCAACGAGCTGCTGAACCGAGAGAAGTGGGACACTGGCTCATGCCCCAGCCTGGGTTGTACTAGAGAACTGAAGGCAATCACCAGGTGCAGCCAGGACCCCGTGCATGCCCACATTGGCCAACCCTCTCCTGGGCCTACCTCTTCCTTTTTTTGCTGGTCTGACTTCTCTTCCAGGTAGATTGCTGAGGATGGGACCCGTCGGGCAGGGGCTTCACGGGGAGCCTGGCTCACTGGGGCAGGCAGGCACAGGGATCAGACATCAGAGACCCCTCCTGCCACAAGGACTCCTCCCAACCCTTTGGCACCATTCCCTAGGGAATCCTGTGGCAGAGACCCCAGGGGGACAATAATAGCTATTCCACCTTCTGTTCACAAGGTCTGCTGTGGGCACTAGGCAGTGTGCGCATGCACACATGTCCATGTTGCAGTGGGAAATGTGGAAACACAGACCCTGGACCCTGCCCTCAAAAGGCTCCAAGTCTGAGCCTGGAAATGGAAGCACCCCACTCTCGGGAGTGCTGGAGGTTTCTGTGTGCCAGCAGGGACAGAGGGATCCTGGACTTGGCTCCTTGCCCTTTTCCCCCATCTCCACCCACCACCCTGCTTCCTACTCACCACCCGCCAGGTCCTTGTCCTACCTGGGCTCATGCCAGGGGGCTGCAGGCTGATAAGCCGGGGCTGCCCATTAGCACCTCCCAGCCAGGCCTTGGCACTGAGCACTGGCTCCCAGCTCACAGATGTGTCTGGGAACACGTCATCTTGGAAGAACTCTTTCTGTAGGGAGAGGAAGGGGCTACCCTGCAGCACCTGCCACAGGCCCAGGGCACACCAGCATCCCTTGGGAAGGGGGTAAGGAAAGACCCAGGACCCTGGTCTGGGGTTTCTGCCAGTTTTAGAATCTCAACAAAGTAGCTGTATCCGTTATTGGCCCAAAGAGCAGTGAAACAGGACAGTTTGGTGATAGGGCCAAAGCCCCTGATAGAGGCTGAGAAGGGGGATCCAGTGTTGGGGTGCTGGACCCCCAACCTCACCCTGACTCGGGGAAGCCGAAAAGCGACAGGCTCCAGGGAGGTCTGGCGAAGCCGCAGGCACCGGGCAAACTCTACTTCCCGCACGTCACACTCCGTCTTGGGCAGGAGGATGAAGCCCTGGGGAAGCAGGGGACTCTGAGCTGACACCTGGGCCCTCACGGAGTGCCAACGCCCCTTACTGAGGACCCCCGGAATGATGGCCTGTCCCCGAACGGTGGTATGCTGGCGGAGGCCCAACAACTAGCTCTCTGGAGGAAAAATGCTCTGATCTGTAGCCCTGATTAGCCTCTTTCTATGGTGTAAAAACCCCCACCATGTCGATCTCACACCACCAACACAGTTTGTTCAATGCAGAGTTGGGAGGACGTGTGGGAGTACATATGACACCTCCACTGATGGCTCCCACACGTACAAGAAAGCCGGACAGCACAAATAGCAGTAAAATTGGCTAAAATAAGTAAGCAATACACTGAATGTTTACTGCCCTGGCTTTTAATATAATTTCTTTGTAGGTTCCCATAACTTAAGATTTTATGGTTTAATTTCTAATAATGGTGGAGTTTAACAACCAGCTCCTGAGAGCTGCCGGGCACACCCTGGCCCAGTGACCTGCTGACCCCACAGGCCTCTGCACTTCCCCATCTGACCGGGAGAGGGCGGGGGAGCCCTGTGTCCCACAGATAGGGGAGGACCCGGAGGCCCACAGGCTCACCTTGTGGGGGTCTGTTGAGGTGAAGCTATTGCACTCCAGGAAGAAAGGAGCCTCAGGGAGCAGCTCATACAGGAACACGCGGGTGTCACCCTGGGTTGGGGGTTGGTGAGAGTGAGGCAGCCAGCTAAAGCTGCCTTCCTCTCCACCTCTCCCCCACCCACCACCCCTGCTTGCACCCCAGCCCACCTTGCCCGTGAGTAGCACCAGGCTGGTATCAGGGTCATAGCTGGGAAGCAGGGTCGAGGGAGCCACGTCCAGCCCTAGCACTGCCAAAGGGCCACCGGCCAGGGCCTCGGCGGGGTATAGGAGCAGCTGGCGCTCACTTCGGCTGCAAGGAGACCCAGGGAGCAGAAGCAGGTCCTTAGAGCTGCAGGGGCCTGGGTCAGGGCAAGGACTCCAATCCAGCAAGCATCCTGACCTTGTCAGGCCAGGGGTCCTGAGGGCTTTGGAGCCTGCAGAGTGCCTCTGTCCATCCTCTTTCCTTTTTTTTTTTTAAGATTTTATTTATTCATAGAGACAGAGAGAGAGAGAGAGAGAGAGAGAGAGAGAGAGAGAGAGAGAGGCAGAGACACAGGCAGGGGGAGAAGCAGGCTCCAAGCAGGCTCCATGCAGGGAGCCCGACATGGGACTCGATCCAGGGTCTCCAGGATCACGCCCTGGGCTGCAGGCGGCGCTAAACCGCTGCGCCACCGGGGCTGCCCCATTCTCTTTCCTGATCCAGCTCTCAGAACCACTGGCCTGGTGTCATGCAACAGTGGCCTAACCTGCTGACCTCATAGCAGACTACTGCTCCCCCTGCTGCCCTCCGACCCTCCTCAGCACAGTCTAACACCAGCACTGGTCTCATGGCCACCACACTCTGCTTCTCATCCTTTGCCCTAGCCATGTGGTCAGCTTCCTGGCCTTTCCATCTAGACTTAAATGCCCTCTTCTCTGGGTTTCTGGTTATTAGCTCCTTTGTGACTCAGTTCAGATGACATCTCCCTTAGGAAGCCCTCTCTGATCCCTCCTCCAAAGTGCCAAATACTCATCCCTGGGACCTCTCCAGTAGGCTTGATTGTTTCACATTCTTTACCCGGTCCCCACCAGGCATGGGCTCCAGGCAGCAGGGAGTGGCTCCTTTCCCGCTGGGTCCCCAGTTGACTCATTCTTCCTCCCCACCTCCCTCCTTCCCTCCCATCCACCCACCCACTCATCCATCATCCATCCATCCATCCATCCATCCATCATCATCCATCCTATTAGTGAGTAGGAGGAATAGCTTCTGATGCCTTACAAATGTATATGTGCCCAGGGAAGCAGCACACAATTAGCTGCTTAAGTCTCAGGATGGGGATGGTGGTCCCAGAGTCCTTACCTGTCAAAACCAGACACGAGCAGACACTGACCATCACACACCCAGACCACGCGGGCTCCGCGGGCGCCCTCAGGCCCTGGGGCTTCCTGTGGGGATACAGCACATGAGGCCCAACAGCAGTTCCTCAGGCAGTTCTGAAGGTTGCATCCAGTGCATCTCGCTCACCTGCAGGGGCTCGGGGCCACCCCGGGGCTCATAGACCCGCAAGTACCCATCCTTGCAGACGGTGGCCAAATGCTGTCCGCTGGGACTCCAGGCCAGGCTAAAAATCTGGAGGCAGGTGCAGACAAAGATGTGAGAGGTAGCCTCTAGGCCTCTGGGTGGGTCCTTGCCCCCATAGATGTCCTACCTGGTCCTGGTGGCCCTGAAGCCTCAGCTGCTCGGCTCTGGCCTGCAGGTCCCAGATCCGAATGGTAAGGTCATAGGAAGAGGAGGCCAGCAGGTCAGCTGCCAGTGGATGGAAGCGCAGAGAGTAGATCTTCTCTGTGTGACCTTGGGGTGAGGCATGGGATAATGCTGAGCCCCTCAGGAGTCACCACCTGTCTCCCAGCCCCCACCCTGGGCCCAACTGACCTGTGAGCACAGCCTCAGGTGTCGTGAGCACTTCCTGCAGGCCCTCTGGGGGCACCCGCCACAGTCGGATCCTGGCATCCTCCCCACCTGCAGGGAGTGCAGGCTCATCTCTGCTGGGCCCAAGACCTCCAGGCTCCCCCTACCCTCCTTCAGATCCCTGGACCCTCCCTTGAACCTAGTGCCCAGCTTCCTTACCCACAGCGAGGCGGTAGGGGTCAAAGGGGTCCCAAGCCAGATCAGTCACAGCTGCCCCATTCTGCAGTGTGGGCAGTGCTGTGTCGGGCAAGCGGCCAGGCTTCTGCAGCTGTGGGAGGTATCCCCACCCAGAGGCCCATCAGTAACAGGCTGGAGAGCTCAGTCCCCAGGGGCTGCAGGGCAAGCAACGTGCCTGGGCCCCCACCCTCTGCAGCTGATGCTCCACTGCTGGGTGGCTCAAGCTCTCTGCTTTGGCCATCTTGTGCTTTGAGCCCCAAGTGCCCACTGTAAGGTCCCAGAAAGCGAGGGGGGCAGCATGGAGTGGTGGAAAGAGCTCAGGCTTGGGGCCCAGGCAGTTTGGGTTCAAATCCCAGCTCCACCACTACACAGCTGTGTGACCCAACAGGCCACAAACCTCTCTGTGCCTCACTGCGCTCTTCCATCTGTAAAATGGGGATAAGATGGTATCCCTGCGGGACAGCTGACAGGACTAAAGGGGATGCTCAGAGAGTGAGAACCAGTGTAGGTACCCAATGCCCTTAGCTTCCTACAGGGCCTAGAGGGGGGCACTGTGGTGGGTGGTGTCCCTCACCTCAAGCACAGCCACCTGCCCACCACTGCTGAGCAAAGGCACGGCCACACGCAGCCGGTTGGCACAGAATCCGTCACTCTCGCCAGGCGTGGTGAGGTTGAGCCCCTTGAGGTTGGTGATGTGGCTGTCTCGGTGCAAGACAGTGCCCTGAGCATGGCGGAACTTGGAACTGGGACCTGGCAGGCGGCAGGGACAGAGCCCCATGAGGATGCCCTGCTTGCCTGCCCGCACACCTGCAGGGGGCACGGCCTATGTCCCAGCCTCTGCCCTGTGTCCCAGCCTCTGCCAACACAACTCGTGCCCTGGGAACGAGCCTTGAGAGCCCAGGACTCGAGAGAACATCCAGGCTGCCCTCTTCCTTGACACTCGTTTCATCCCACAAGGACAGGTGATCCCACCAGGAGGGGAGGAGGATGTAGACAGGGTTAGCTCCTGCCCTGACACACTTACCCAGCAGGCTCTGTAGGGACCTCTGGCTGGGGCTGGTGCCGATGCCACTGGTGCTAGAGAGTGAGGGCCCCAGGCTGGAGGGCGTGGAGGGCGAGGCAAGAGAGCTGAGTGGGGAGGAGAAGCCCTCCTGGGGAGAAGCATACTGGGTCAGCCAGTAGGCCCCTGGAAGTGTTGGCCAAACCAAGAGCAAGACAGGGCCCCTCCTCCCGGGCTGTGGGACACTGTGGGGGCATGAAGCCCACTGTGGGGTGCCAGGTGCCAACACCAACGCCGACGAGGGCCAGAGGTAGCACAGGGCAAGCTAAGCTTCAGACTGTGGGGAAAGAGGGTGGCAGCTGCCAGCTTCAAGCTCTGTAGGAGGACAGGCCCAGTGCGGCTAAGATCTGCCTGCATTTCAAGAGAAGCCAAAAATCTGGATTTTTCTGTGAAAGTCTTGCTTTTCATGTGTTTGCTCAATTTAGAGAAGAGCACGAAGTTCTTTTTTTTTTTTTTTTTTTTTTTTTTTGAGCACGAAGTTCTTTATTTATGCTTCACGAGTTCCTCTCTGTTGCGCTTGACAGCTAAAAAAGGCTGAAAGACCAGCTCAAACCAGCAGGCGTGCGCTCACACTTGCCAGCTTTGAGTCAGGGCACCCACTGCGGCCGCGTGATGGGGAGGACAGGCGGACAGCCCAGGCACTCACGCTGGGGTCCAAGTCACCCACAGGTGTCTCTGCAGGCTGGGCTGCATCCGGGGAGGGCTCCATGGGGGGCACCAGGCAGGAAGTGAAGCTGGGGTGGGGCCGGTGAGCTGGGTGGAGGCTAACCTTCTGCACCTGTGGGAAGAGGCTGGCATTTGAGGCAGGGAGGAGGTAAGGGATGGGGGGACACAGGGCAGCTGAGTTAGCAGACAGCTGGACTGCAAAGCTGTGCATGGGGCTGTTGGAGGCCGGGAGGGGCCAGCCAGGCCGTGGCCCTACCTGCTGGTTGCTCCCAGCCCACCAGGCATGGGGGTCGGAGGCGGGCACGCAGCCTGCGGTGTCTGGGAACAGGTCCTTGTGGAACTCCACAGCCTGGTGGCAGATAGGTAGGTGGCCCGTGAGATCCAGGCCTCCCAGGCCCTCCGAGGCCCTCACCCTGGGCCCCCTCACCTTGCGAGGCACATGGTAGCTGACAGGCACGATGGCTGTGTTGCTCAACTGCAAGACGCGGAGCACCTCACAGTTCATGATAGCCAGCGCCCGCCGGGGTACAAGAGCTGCCCCCCGGAGCACGCTTTCCAAGAGGCACTGGGTCACTGTGGGGGACACCGCGGGAAGGCAGTCAGCGAGGCTGGGAGGGCGAAGGGGGAGGGCGGAGGAGAACAGGGCTCACCTGGGCTCAGTGCTGGCTGCTGGGGCAACACCTCGTAGCAGGACAACTGACTCTCACCCTGAAACAAGCCCAGCCTGAGTGCAGCTCGCTGCTCACACCCTGATGGCCCGGGGCATGCTCCAGGTCTAACACCAGCTCCTACCGCCGGTGCTCTGGACTGCGTCCTTGGTGGACTTCACATGCATGCAGTAAGGACAGGGCACATTGAGGATTTATAAAGTGCCTGCTGTGTGCTGACACTGCTTTATTGCTGGCCCTGTCCACAAAGCTGACATTCGTGGGAGTTATCATGCCCACCTGAAGGCCACTCAGCCTGCCAGGGGTGGAGCATGAGTAGCACTACTTTGGCTTCTCTCTGGGGGCAGATGGCATCCCGGCATCCCACCATCCCATCTCCCAGCTGGCTGGCCAGGTCAGACTGGGATGGACCTGGCAAGTGAGGGCGCCACCCTGGGGGGCTGATGTGGACAGCCACTCCAGCTTCTTGCTCACCTTTCCTGCCAGGATCAGGAGCCCGGAGTCTGGGTCCAGCAGGGGCATCAGAGACCTGAGTGGGAGAGGGCTAGTTGGCGGGATGGGCAGCTGGAAGCTGTCAGCCCCATGACTCCAGCCAGGGGCTCGAGCCAAGCACCACACTGGCCAGGAGTGGCTATACCCAGCCTGTCTGCTGGGACCCTCCACCTTCTTTCCCTGTGCTACCAACACGCTGACGCCCAGCACACCCCCATGTCCCAGCCTTTCTTGCCCTGGGTCCTCCATCCGCTCACCTGCTTTGCTCCAGGACCTGTATGCGTCCTGGGCGTAGGTGAGCTGGCCCCTCTTTCTACACCTCAGTCCTGAGCTCCATCCCAGGCTCAGCAGCTCCAGAAATACCCCACGTATGCTCTGTCCCTGGTCCCACCTTGGCCAGCCATGGTACCAGGCCAGAGTTACCTGGGAAGATGAGTGGGCATGCCAGAACCAGGGACTCCCTCCAGCCCTGCCCAATGTAGTCAGCCTGGTTTGGGGACACCCCCTCAGAAACCCCCAGGCTCCTGATGACATCTTAGAGACTCAGAACGCCCCTCAGGATGACTTCAAGCCTCTGAGCCCAAGCCTAAGGCAGGGGCTTAGACCAGGGCCTCCTTCACCACAGTGCTCCCCTGCCCTCCCCATTCTCCGTTGTCACTCTGTTCCCCAGGTGGGGCTTTGGGTGGCGGGCAGGGGCTGGGAACACAGGGGCAGGCTGGAAGCCCCCAGCACCCCTGCGGCTCTATGTCAGGCTCCTCTGGGCCAATGACCTATCACTGTCCAGGAGAACTCTGACAGGTGCCTTCATCTGTCTGTTTCTTCTCCTGGTCTTAGTTTCATGTCTCTGGGAACCCAAGGGCCTGGGCACTGACCCTCAGACAGAACCCCTTCCTCACTGTGGTCCCAGCAGTCAGAGGTCACCCAGCTGTGGCAGCTGCATCCAGCCCTCACCCAGGCAACAAAGGGCACTTTCCCCCCTACCCCTGCCTGTCCATCCCCTTCTGGCCAGCTGCCCAAAGCCCGCCTGCTGTCCACCTTCCACCCCCCACCCCCACCCTACTGGGAGCCACAGTGTGGGCTGGGAAGCTGGGTGGGGCCCTGGGTGTCTCCACAGCTTCCTGAAGTGCTCTGGGCCGGTCACCTGTCTGTGAGTAACAAGGTCTTTAATTACCTTGGGCGGGCAGGGTGAGCTGGCCTCAGAACTGCCCTTCTTGACCTGGTCTGACTGTTGCCTTCTGTGGGGGAGCAGGGGGACAAGGTGGGTGCCTGACCTGAGGTGCCCCCCCACATTGATGCTGGCTCCATTGGGGTTGGAAGCAAGTCCTTTCAGTGGCTTTAACAAGACTTTCATTTGCTCATTCATTCATTCCCTACCATTCATTCCTCTGCTGGGCTGCTCTGCATCCAACTCCCTGGCTCAGCCTGCAGCTGTGACCAGAAGTGAGTGCAACAGACCCTACCTCAGTCCTCAAATTGCTCAAGGCTTGGTCTGAAAGGCAGACACAGCCCCCCTCCCAATACACACACACATAAACACACACAAAGGAAAAGTTCCCTGAGGATACAGGGCAGGGGGCAGGGGGACCTGACTTGGCTGGCCACAGGGGAGGGGCATGTTCCCTGCACCCCAAGGGTTGAGGAGGCATCAACCAAGCGTGGAGAGTTCCAGGAAGAAAGAGCAGAAAGGACCTGCAGGTGTGGCAGGGTGATGCATGGTCCATCTGAGAAATAGGGTGAAGTATGATGTGGCTAGTGGCCTGGGCAGCAATGGTGAGAGGCTGAGCCTCAGGATGGCGTGGGTAGAGGCCGGACAGAAAGGGGCCTGGCACATAAGTCGGGGAACTCTGCCTCCATCCATTGGACAAGCAACAAGAAGCGGAAGACACATCTTAAATGAAGGGGGACAAGATCAGACGTGTGCCGAGTAGAGATCACCATGTAGAGATACACAGGAGAATGTGAAAATGAGGTGATGGGCTCAGGGCAGCATCTGAGAGCAAGTGGAGTGCCTCTTGAGGCCCCGCTGTCACCTTGGCAAGAACTGGGGAATGGGCCTGTGGGTGGCGTTGACAGCTCATCTGTGCTCTAAACCACCCTCCTCAAGATGCTCCACCTGGCCTCCCTGCACTCCCACTTCATCAACCCCAACTGGCCAGCCCACTGACTCAGGCGCTGGGAGGGGATGTGGGGCAGGGGCAGGAAGTCACAGAGGGCAGGGCTGGCTCCTCCAACAGGTCAGGCCAGTCTTCCAGGCCTCAGGCAAAGCCATCCACGGCACAGACCAGGAAATGGGGTCATGGCACCCAGCCCCCAGGGTTGGCCAACAGCTGGCATGGGCCTGACCCCGGGCTTGTAAAGAGAGCCAAGCCAGGTCTGGGTCTGAAATGCAGAACATAGTTCTGCCTTGGCAGAGGACCAAACGTGGTAAGAGCTGGCACTGGCACCCTCCTGCTGCCATGGTGTGGGGTAGGGCTGGCATCTAAGCCTGTCACTAGAAAGGACTCTGACCCAGGTCCAGGGGTCTGCCCTAGACCCAGTCATAGAAGGTCTAGAGCCCAGATTGGGACCCTTTAAGTCCAAGTCACAGAAGATGCTGGACAATGGTGGTGCTTGGTCACATGAAGGAGTCAGCACCTGATAATCCCATCAGCTTTCCCAATATTCCTGCAATTAGCCCAGGAAGTACTATCTGTCAGGAAAAACAGCTTTAAGAGTTTTCCGGTTCTATGTGCCAGCCCATCTCTCCTCTTCATTTTTTAAAAAATATTTTATTTATTCATTCGTGAGAGACACAGAGAGAGACAGAGGCAGAGACATGGAGATGCAGAAGCAGGCTCCCTTGTGGGGAACCCTATGCGGGACTCGATTCCAGGACCGCGGGACCACACCCTAAGCCAAACACAGATTTTCAACCACTGAGCCACCCAGGCGTCGCCCATCTCTCCTCTTCAGACCCACCAACCCAGACATCCTGGCACTGCCACTGGTCAAAGCAGTCCAGAACCTTTGGATCTGTCCCTGTCACCCAGGCTGTGCAGTTGGGACCCTGCCCACACTGGACTAAGCTCACACTCCCTAGCCTCCTTAAGAACCAGGTTCTTTTTTTTTTTTTAAAGATTTTATTTATTCATGAGAGAGAGAGAGAGAGAGAGAGAGAGGCAAAGACACAGGCAGAGAGAGAAGCAGGCTCCATGCAGGGAGCTTGACGTGGGACTCGATCCCAGGTCTCCAGGAGCACAACCAGGGCTGAAGGCAGGCGCTAAACCACTGAGCCACCCAGGGATCCCCAAGAACCAGGTTTTAAGGGCAGGTGGTGGGGTGCCTTGATCCCCTATGAGAAGAAAATGGGAAACTAGGGAGAGAGGTCCCCTAGACACTACCCTTGCATCTCTGGGTGAGTAGGAGCATGGCATGTGTGAGTCCTGGCTCAGAACTGGAGTGAGGGAGAGACCCTTTAGTCAGGTGGGATCTATCAGAAAGAACTGGACACAGAGGCAAGAAGTTTTGGGGCCTGTCAGGAAGTCCTATTCTTTGGGGAAAGTCAGGTGGGGGGTGCCCAGAGCACCACCCCCGGGGGGCATCTGTGGACCTTCCTGAGAGCTTTAGGGGACACAGGGCCATCTGACCAAAACCACACAGTACTGACCGTAAACTGAAATGTTTCAGGAATGTGAGTGAGTAAAGTAGCCTGTTGGGAGACACCTGGGAGTGGTGGGGACTGGGACAGCCAGTGAGCCCGGGCCTCCATCAGAGGGGGCAGCTACCACTCAGCCCTTGCCCAGAGTTCCTATTCAAGGCAAGCTGGGAAGTCCCATTTTAATGTGAAACCACCGGATTTTTCAATGTTGGCAATGGCTTCAAAGTTTTAAAAAGTCCCAGACAGGCCAAATGAAATACACCCGAGAGCCAGCACTGGCCCAAGAGCAGAGGTTCACAAGCCATGCCCCACATCTACATATACCAAGAAAAGCATGTAGTGCAGGCTGGCTGGAGGGGATAGCAGGTATCCCAAGGCCCTCTGAAAGGGGGAGTTGAACAGGTCCCTAAAGGCTCTGACCCATCACTCTGACCACAAACATGGAGGAGGGCAGAGCATTTTCCTAGAATATTCCAAGGCAGGGGATTTTTCTGGACTAGTCTACCCCCTGGCACTGCCTCCCAACCCCCTTCCCCCAAGGGCCACCTTCAGCAACACCCAGCCCCCACCCACTGGTGGTGAGGCCCAGCCTCCCACCCCATCCCACCCTCTCCAGCACTCAGGTCATTTCCCCTTCCTGTGTCTCAATCCTTTCACCTAAAATGTGGAGAGGGTGGTCCAGGAATACTCACCTCCCTGAAGGCCCTCATTGCTAAAAAGGACCCCAGAACTCAGATTTGGCATTAGAGATTGTATTTAGGAGGCTCTCGGAGGACTCTGTGTGGCCTGCCCAAGAGTTTTTGAAATTCGGATTAGCTACCAACAATAACACATTGAGAGATTTCACCTAAAAAAACCCCCCAGATTTCTAGTTTCTCTTGAAAAACCTCAAACTCTGGCAGACTGGGGCAGGTCACAGGGGCTGAGCCCTTACACTGACTGACCCCCAGTTTCCCTACCCACCCCATCCCCACCTCTCCAGGTGTCCGTAACCCAAGGGGTCCGCCTGCCTGGTGTGTCATAGGTATGCGGGCTTGGGACCCTTGGCGTCGATATTCTCTTTCTTTTACAAAAAACAGGGACCCGCCCAGGGTCACACGGCAAAGCGCTGGCAGAGCAGCCGGGCGCGCGGCCCCCCGCCTACCCCCCGCGGGCCCGAGGCGGAGCCGCAAGCCTCCCGCACCGGCGACAGGACCCTTGTGCTGAGCGAGGAGGCGGGTCACCGGAGGCCCCGCCCCCAGCCGAGCCCCCGCCCCCGGCCCTTAAAGCGCGACCCGCCTCCCGCGGGCAGACTCCGCAGCCCAAGCCCGGGGCGGGGAGACGCGGACCCGGCCGCCTCGGGACCCCGGAACCCAGGACTCCTCCGGGCCGCCGGCCCGCCCCGCCCGGCTCCCGCCGCC